GGACCCGAGCCATGAGCCGGGAAGCCAGGAGGCGAGCAAGAGAGAGAGAGAGAGACCCCCCAAGGCCCACGTGTCTGGTATTTATACCAAACCTGGCTGCTTAACTCAACCCTCAGGTCCCAGCAACCTTCCCTTTGGTGGTGATGGGATTTGTCTTTCCCAATGTCTGGATGGCTTTGGTCAGGAGTCGGGGTGGAGTCCACAAAGCCTGTGTGGAATTAGCTCAGGACATCATTTCCCCCTAACATTAACATACACACATACTAAATTATAAGAAATGTGAAATTTCTCATTAATAAATTAATTTTTTTCTTACATTTAGGAAGTCCCCATAGTTCTCCTGCTGCCATAACAGCCATGAACCATCACCATATTTTCATGTTTTCTTCCCTTCTCTGTTGTGACCCTTTTCCTCCTTCCCCTCCCTTGCTGTATGGTCAGCTTGCTCATTTTAACTTTATCTTGACCTTTTGTTTGGTTCCTCTGTATGCTGCATATAAGTGAGATTATCTGATATTCATCTTTTTCCTTCTGACTTATTCCACTGAGCATAATCCCTTCCAGCTCCATCCATGTTGCAGCAAGTGGCATGAGTTTCTTTATCACTGAGTAATATACCATTGTGTATAAATACCACAAATTTTTGATCCATTTGTCTATTTGGGGGTACTTGGGTTTTTTCCATATCTTGGCTATTGTAAATAGTGCTGCAATAAACATAGGAATGCAGGTTTTCTTTCAAATTAGTGTTTTTGTATCCTTTGGGTAGATTCCTTAGGGTGGAATCTCTGGATCATATGGCCTAATCCATTTTTAGTTTTCTGAGAAACCTCCACACACAGCTTTCCATAGTGACTGTACCTGTTTACATTCCCACCAGCAATGTAAGAGGGTTCCAGATCCTCTCCAGCATTTGCTGTGTCTGGTTTTTTAATATGGGCTATTCTTACTGGAATGAAGTGGTATCTCATTGAGGTTTTGATTTGCATTTGTTTTTCTGATAATTAGTGATATTGAACATTTTTTCATATGCCTGTTGGCCATTTGCATTTCTTCTTTGGAGAAGCATCTTTTTAGTTCTTCTGCCCATATTTTGATTGGGTTGTTTGTTTTTGTTGAGTTGTGTAAGATCTTTGTACATCTTTGATATCAATCCCTTATCGGTTGTATGGAGTGCAAATATTTTCTCCCATTCAGTAAGGGAGGGGAAGGAGGAAAAGGGTCACAACAGAGAAGGGAAGAAAACATGAAAATATGGTGATGGTTCATGGCTGTTATGGCAGCAGGAGAACTATGGGGACTTCCTAAATGTAAGATGTCCTTTAGTTTTGAATTTTATCTCCTTTGCTATACAGAAGCATTTTAGTTTAATGTAGTCCCCGTTGTCTATATTTTCCTTTATTTTCTTTGTTTCTAGAGATGAATTCTCAAAGAAGTTTCTGAGATGTATGTCATGGAGTGTTTTGCCTATGTTTTCTTCTATATATTATCATATGGTTTTTATATTTCTTTTTGTTGATCAAACACATCTTTTTGTTGATCAAACAAATATAAAAAAAAAAGAAATATAAAAACCATATGATAATATATAGAAGAAAACATAGGCAAAACACTCCATGACATACATCTCAGAAACTTCTTTGAGAATTCATCTCTAGAAACAAAGAAAATAAAGGAAAAGATAGACAACGGGGACTACATTATGGTTTCAGGTCTTACATTGAAGTCTTATTCATTTTGAGTTGATTTTTATATATTGTGAGATAGTAGTCTAGTTTCATTCTTTTGTATGTTGTAGTCCAGTTTTTCCAGCATCATTTATTGAAGAGGCTTTCCTTGTTCTAGTGTTTATTCTTTGTTTCTTTGTCATAGATTCGTTGACCATAAGAAATGCGAAATGTCTAAGCTGATAGGTCAAAAATAATTTATCCCATCTCCCAAATAGGATTATAAAAATATGCATAACTGGCTCAGTATCAAATTTTCTTCTCTTTCAGATGAAAATTTAATTCCCATGCTTGTGTAGAAACATTATTTTTGAGTATAAGTCTGTGTTTATGATTTGGATTAGATTGACATGAAGTGAGGATTTTTAAATATTTTGGTACCATATTTCTCTTCTGAGAAGCATCCTTTTTTGGAAATTTGCTTCGTTCCCTGTCAGCAACTACTTAATTTCCTCTCCATATCTGACTTCCTCTTAAAGTCCAATTCTGTTATGTTCTAGTTCTTGAGGAAAACCTGACTAAAGTAAAAATCTCTGAAATGTGTATATGCTTACACACCCAAACCATTCTCAGGCAAGTGCTGGAGGAACAATACATAGGAAAGCAAAATTTGTTGTGTGCCTACTGAGAATCACACACTTTACCTATATTATACCATTACATATAAAACATTATTTAATGTATGTTATGGGCCTCCCCGGTGGCGCAGCGGTTGAGCGCTGGGTTGCGAAGCTGCCCGCAGACTCTGCAGTGTCAGTTCGATCCCCGGCTGCTCCCCGGCCACCGGAGGAGGGTCCCACATGGCGCGCAGACCTCTCCTGCCGCCCGCTGCTCCCCTCAGCAGTGTACTTCGGTCCTTCTGCCTGCTCTGCTCCCCGCTCTGGCTCTGGTGAATTCTCTCACCCTCCCGCGCTTCTGACTGTACCCAGTGCATGTATAAACAAACAAACAAACAAATAAATAAATAAATAAAACATGCCTCTATAAAATATATGTTAAAAAAATAATGTATGTTATGTCTCTTTGGGAATCCTGTCATCTCCATTTTACAGATAAGGAAACTGAGATATGATCAAGTTACTAGCCTAAAATAATGCTGCTTATAGGTGGCAGAGCCAGGTTTAAACACAGCTCACATCTGTCTGACTATACTACATTTCACTGATTCTACTCATATGTTAACATCCCCACCAAAAGTTTAATATTAAATTTCTCTCAATTATCTATTAGTGTCCAATCAGAAAAGCAGTATTATTCTAGGGATTTCCAATAGAGGAAACAAAATCCAGCGGGGCCAATTAGGATACCAAGAGCTCACAGGGCGACATAACTGAGACTATGCTGCTGAGGTCCTTCTATGGTTGCTGCTACTGTTGAAACAACTGCTGCTGTTATCTTCTAGAAAAGCTGAGAGTATTCACTTTCAGCAAAGCTGCAATAGCTTTGGAGCCCACAGTCCTGCTAATGCTGCTAGACTCACTGCCAGGACTTTTGGAGCTTGTGGTTGCCTGCTGATAGATACAAAGCAAAAAATGAAAATGATGTGTTCTTTCTTTTTTTTTAATTAATAAATTTTATTTTTATATTCCCCATACAATTGCAATCCCCCCATTCTGACCCCAATCCCTCCCCTCCCGCCCCCCACCCCCAAAAAGTGTCTCTGGTTCATAGTTTTTGTTGATTTTGATTTTCACTTTCTTATAGTTATTCATTTTCCTGGTCCCTTATTTAAGTATTCTAGATTCCTGCTATGAGTGAGACCATCCGGTATTTTTCTTTTTCTTTTTGGCTTATTTCACTGAGCATGATCCCTTCCAGCGTCATCCATGTTGCTGCAAATTGCATGTGTTTATCTTTTTTGAATGCTGAGTAATATTCCATGGTATATATGTACCACATCTTCTTGATCCAGTCATCTATTTTTGGGCATTTGGGCTGTTTCCAAAGCTTAGCTATTGTAAATAGTGCTGCTATAAACATAGGGGTGCAGGTGTTCTTTGGAATTGATGTTTCTGTGTTCTTTGGGTAAATACCTAGGAGTGGAATTGCTGGATCCTGTGGAAGCTCTATGTTTAGTAGGTCCAGAAATCTCCACACAGATGTGTTCTTTCTTTCCCTTACCTTCTCATCTTTCTCATTTGTGTAATCTAATGGGAAACCACCTAACAAAGAAACCTGGAAAATCTATTTTGTAGATTTCCAGCACCCTATATATAGAAAATGCAAAAGGGCAGAAATGAAGCTAAAAACCAGTTTTCCCAGGGAGTAGTATCATAGTATTAACTCCCATTATTCCTTTATTTTAAAGACTCTTTCTCATAAACTGCAATGTGATTTAATGCCTCTATTGAGTACTAGGATTTCCATCTTTGACGTCATGAAGCAGAAAAGAGATTTACTGGAAGGAATCTGAAGGGAAACCTGGAATACCAGTTTAAGAAACAACAAGCTCTGGGAATCAGGAGTAATACGAGTAGGGAGAGTATAAGGGCACAGTTTAGAGAAATTCACTCTAACCACTTTTTTAAAATTTCTATTGTAGATTCAACATCTAGGTGAAGATAACAATATTGGCTAGTCTTAGAAAGGATGATGACTTCACTAAGGAAAGTAATTTTCCCAAAGTTAAATAGAGATCTGAATAGAAAGCAATCCAATCAAATATACAAACTGATAAACAAAACCAGCTACCATGCAACCCCTATTAGTAGGTATTTTC